CTTCTTGGCATCTACCTTTGTGAAATCTTGGTGCAGGGACAGATTACAGCGGACCGAGCTCTGGGGGAATATGATATAAATGTTGTCAGCTTAAAATAACTTACTGTACTGAAGGAAAGTTTTGTATTTTCAATTCTAATGTTATTGCAGTTTTAATATATACCAGTGACAATTAGAGAAATTACAACACATTTGGAATGAAAGTTACATAACATAACCCTTGACCCATTAGGGTCGTGAAGGTGTACTAATGGAAGCACTAGCACATTAAACCCGCCATCTTTCTTTGTCTTCTGCTTGATGAATAAGTGTATGATAACTCAGTCATGTCCATTTCTTGGTGTTGTCATTCCATGTTCTTCTTTACCTTCCTCTTCTTTGACTACCCTCCAATGTTCCTTGAAGAAAAGAAGTCTTTGCAATCGAATCATGTCTCACCACATGCCCAAACCAAGCTAGCTTGCAACGTTTCACCACTGCTAAGAGAGGCTCCTGATGTCCTGCACATTTGGGTTTCAACACTGCCAAGAGAGAGGCTCCTGATGTCCTGCACATTTGTATATTTTGTCTCAAAGTTAAATTTATTTGAAAAACAAATACCTGAGGAAAATTATAAACATAAAATGGCAAAAATTCAAGAGGTGTGAAAAAATAAGAGCAATGTCTGGGCAACCATTAGTGTCAAGTTAAATGACAGAGAACACTGCGCCATATTAGAGATATTCTGAGAAGAGATGAGTAGAGAATCAACAAACGGGCACTGAAATGGGAAACAGATACTGAGGAAAACAGAGGTACAAAGGAAACCAGGATGTCCAAGAGAAACCCTTAACACTGATGAGAGAAGCCATTGCAGTGATGAGAGAAGCCATTGCAATGATGAGAGAAACCATTGCAGTGATGAGAGAAACCATTGCAGTGATGAGAGAAACCATTTCAGTGATGAGAGAGACCATTACAGTGATGAGAGAAGCCATTACAGTGATGAAAGAAACCATTACAGTGATGAGAGAAACCATTGCAGTGATGAGAGAAGCCACTACAGTGATGAGAGAAGCCATTACAGTGATGAGAGAAACCATTGCAGTGATGAGAGAAACCATTGCAGTGATGAGAGAAGCCATTACAGTGATGAGAAAAGCCATTACAGTGATGAGAAAAGCCATTACAGTGATGAGAAAAGCCATTACAGTGATGAGAGAAGCCATTACAGTGATGAGAAAAGCCATTACAGTGATAAAAGAAGCCATTACAGTGATAAAAGAAGCCATTACAGTGATAAAAGAAGCCAACATTGATGAGAGAAACCAACAGTGATGATAGAAACCAACAGTAATGAGAGAAGCCAACAGTGATGAGAGAAGCCATTACAGTGATGAGAGAAGCCAACAGTGATGAGAGAAGCCATTACAGTGATGAGAGAAGATATTACAGTGATGAGAGAAGATATTACAGTGATGAGAGAAGATATTACAGTGATGAGAGAAGATATTACAGTGATGAGAGAAGATATTACAGTGATGAGAGAAGCATTACAGTGATGAGAGAAGATATTAGAGTGATGAGAAAAGCCATTACAGTGATGAAAAAAGTCATTACAGTGATGAGAGAAGCCAACAGTGAGGAGAGAAGCCATTACAGTGATGAGAGAAGCCATTACAGTGATGAGAGAAGCCAACAGTGATGAGAGAAGCCATTACTGTGATGAGAGAAGCCATTACTGTGATGAGAGAAGCCAACAGTGATGAAAGAAGCCATTACAGTGATGAGAGAAGCCAACAGTGATGAGAGAAGCCAACAGTGATGAGAGAAGCCAACAGTGATGAGAGAAGCCATTACAGTGAGAATGGCATGGAAGAATAAACTGCAAGCACTTTGTGACATATAACCATACAACAAAATGATGATCTCAAGCAGTTATTATGAAGAGTGACTAAAAGATTATCAATAAATAAAAAAGTTAGTTGCGTATCCTTCACAGGACGTTGCAGACGAAACCCTATCATTTTTTGGCCGTTGTGGTTTTTTAAGACAAGTTTACGCCTAGTAGTTCGCACTGATAAACTACACAAATTCATTGGCAGCCCCATTAGTGAGGCAAGTATACACTCACCAGCGGATGCAAATCTACAAGAAACCAGATTTTTTTTTCAAACACAACTATGCCTCTGACCCAGCCTTAAACGGGTACCAGGTAAAGTGGGTCCGCGTGACGTTGACCACATAATCCACAGTGGCAATATGAAATATATGCCTAGCCCTATGTGCCCAATACGCCTGAAGGCATAGAAAAGCGTTCTTGATGCACTATATGCCAACATGCATGTAAAGGTATGGAAAAGGGTCCTTTTACACACTCATTAAATGAGCAGACTAAAGAAAGTTTAATAGTATGACAGAATCATGGATCAAGCTTTGGGCTCACCTTCCAGCTTGGTTTAGCATTATACTTGAAGTGTGGAAAACGATCTTCCATCCATGCCTGAATTTCTTTCAAAGTCAACTGGCCATCTTCCGACTCATTCAAGGCCATTTTGATGAGATCCATGTATGAATAACTAGGCCGTTCATACTGTGGCTTGGTAGGCTGAAAGTATGAAAATGCACACCTTTGTTATGTTATTCTCTAGAAGTATAAAATGTTAAATCTCCGTAAAGGTCATTTTTCAACTTGATTACAGTGACCTGTTTATGAGACATTTCTTAATGCTATGATTGTTTTCACGCTATCTATGAGGTTTTAGTGTGAATATATTAACTAAAAATAGATTTTAGAGGTTGTCCTCCCTCTTTTTAGTGTTCACCGGCTGTAAACTCTGGCGCAAAGTCCTGGTTGTTCACCCACATCCGTTTTACAGATCTGACTTATTTGTAGACAGACTGTTAGTTCCTTGCCTCTCAGGCAGATGCACTTCGATTTTGAAGGAAGCGCCCCAATTAGTAGACCCTTACGACACGACATGCTTGTTAGGGAGCAGTGGGTCTATTCTTGTTTTCCTCACAATGGGGCCCCGGAATTTACACTGGGAGGTTTTCCTTCAAACCAAATGGACGTGTTTTTTTTCACAACACGCTGCTGTCAAATTTTCCCGTATGCTTTAGTGATAGAGGTCACAGCACAAGTCACCTGATACATATATTTTTTAAAGGCCTCCATTTAATACTGTCACTTGGTTCATGTTTACTGATTACTGCTTTTATATATCTCAACATATGTCCACACACCCACACAATTATAAATCATCATCATGTGCCCTGCCAACTGACGTAGGCACTCATGCATCTCCGCAGATCACGATAGCTGGCTGCCTGGAACTACTCTCTTGATTATATCTATGCCATCATTTCAGCCCATCCTTCATCATCTCTCTTGGTCTGCCTCTACACCTCTTTCCACATATACCACAATATAACACTATAATCTGGAATCTGTTTGCCGGGGACCATGCTTAGCTGTGGCTGTGGAGCCAACACTGTTCGTGAGCTAGAGGCCATGGGAGCCATCCTGAGTTTTGGGAGTGGTGCCGACACTGCTTGTTTGCTAGGGACCGTGGAAGCCATGCTGAGTTGTGGTACTGAAGCCGACCCCATTTGTTTACTGGGAGCCAAGCCTAGCTGTGGCCGTGGAGCCAACACCGTTTGTGAGCTAGAAACCACAGGAGCCATGCTAAGCTGTGGCATGGGAGCCAACACTGTTTGTTTGCTAGAGGCCATGCTGAGCCATGGCAGTGGAGCCGACATTGCTTGCTTGCTAGATACGATAGGAGCTGTGCTGAGTGGAGCCAACACTGACTGCTGACTACTGGATGTCACGGAACTGACGCTGATCACTGGAGTTGCAGGTGGTAGTTGCATTCTCAGAATATTTGTCATCGGTGGTGGCTCCGCTGTTAATCAAAGTATCAAAAATGAGGAAACTATGACTTGATGGGATTATACAATATCATATCATCTATTTCAAAATTTTAATCCTGTCACCTCAGAGTAGTCACTCTGCTGTTAAAATATCAAAAATGAGAAAACTGTGACTTTGCATTATATAACATCAAATCATCTAGTCCCAAATTTGACCCTGAGAAGTGCAAAACCGACCCTTTTGGTTAGGGTCAATTTGTTAGGAATGTCACTTTTCCTACTTGTCTACAGAAACTACTTTTTTAGTGTTAACAGGACAAAAGAGTTACACCAAGCTAAACTTTCACAGAATAAACAACACAACAAATATTTATTAAAATGTACAACCCACGTTTGACTCAACATGTCTGACTTGACATGCAACTACCCCTGTTTGGCTCAACATACAACAGCTCATTTCTGGCTCAACATACAACAATCCATGTTTGACTCAACATACAACAATCCATGTTTGACTTGACATACAACTACCCCTGTTTGGCTCAACGTACAACAGCTCATGTCTGACCCAACCTATGCCTGATTCAACATATAAAAACCCATGCCTAACTCAACATACAACAACCAATGTCTGACTCAACATACATCGACCCATGTTTTACAAGTTACATGTTACTCACACACAAAATAATCTATATTTTACTCACACAGAAACCTATTTTATAAGGATATAGCAGACAGTCCCTTTAATCACAGCATAATAAACAAGAATAGTTTACTCAAGCAAAAGCAACACATATTTTATTTACACAGAACAAACATCCCATATTTTACTGTCACAGAGCAGACAGCAGATTTTACTCAGAAATATAACAAATCAACCCACATAACAAATTTCCTTTTCACTCATATAAATCATAAAATAATCTATGGTTCACACCCAGAACAGCATATTTCACTCAACCTTTTTTTTTAACAGCTATTACCACTGTCTACTTTATTGCTGCAAAACAAACAGCATATATTACTCAAATAAAACATAAAACAACCCATGCTTTACTGTCACAGAACAAAACAGACCAGTTTACTCAAATTAAAAAGAAAACAACCCATGTTTTACTGACAAAGAATAAACAAGGTCTTACATTTAACACCTCGTGTCTGTTCACTGCAGGAAGATTTTCCTGCCGGCGTTGTTGCCTGACTGGATGCTGAAAGAATCAGAGGCTTCATGGTGTTTCCAACAGCGAAAGTCTCCAGCCAGTTCACACAGTTCAATGATCTGTCTAATGCAGACTCATCAACGAGATCCCCACTTGCAGTTTTATCTGAAAAGATTGTTTTTAAATGTGATGATTGAGGTGGCTACCAGATAATCCAGTTAGCAGAGCAACCATTATGTTTGATTCTCAGTCTGTATTGCATTCTTCCTCTTTTGCAGCTTCGATTGTCGAGGGAGATAGAGGTTCTACTTTTTGCATTTCTGGGCTGCTGTCGTCATAGACACATGCTGTTGTAGTGTGTTTCTGATGTTATCTGTCTTTCTTGTTCTTGGTCTACCTTGTGATCTACGTCCTTCTCCTCTTTAGGGGTATGCCTTGTATGGTATGGCGTTACAAGTCCTTTTTTCTAGGTGAGCAAACCCTTAAACAGGCTGTCTTTGTGCGTAATTCAAGAGTTGGTTTTGTGCCGACTTTTTCTTTTAAGAGCCTACCCCTGATTTAATCTCTTCTGCATAAAAGTTCAAAATGAACAGATGTAGCATAAATTTACACGAGGCACGGACATACCTCTCTTACTTGAATTCAATAAATACAAACTATGAAGTAGTTAGAAGTGGAGAATGAATCCCACGATGTCAGCAGTGAGAGGATACAATAAAAGGCGGAGGGAGGTGGGATATCGAGAGGCAGAGGAAGACCTAGAAGATGGATTGACCAACAGCCTAAGGCCTCACAACATACAACGCGACCGCGCGTGCCCTGTCTCACCTCACCTACCTATCATCGGTTAAAGTTTGATGCTTAGCCGCACAAGAAAGAAGGTCTACCACTGGGAAACTCAATGATGGGGGAGGGGATAAACACAGCTACAATGATGCAGAAGATCTAGATACAGTGTTTGTGTTGGCACTTCTTACGGCTGCCTTATGCCTTTAATGCACGTGAATGCTACTGGCTTTGTTGAGGCTGAAGTCTGTGTCAAATTTTCCACATGGGACTGGGATGAACATCGTGTGGTTTTCACTGGCAAGGGAATGAAACAACTATGGAGTGACCTGTTTGCTATGAAGTTGGAACTGTCATTATCTGAAAAACAGCTAAAAATTCTGACCAAAATCTTTATCAACAACCAACAACAACAATACAGTAGAAGAAAATATATTTCCTGAAAATAATTCTCCCTTGTGTGAGTTCTGGGACCTCGTGTCAGGGGTTATACACCCTTTTCCCATACGGATTTTGTAAATAGCGACTAATTATGCTGTATCCTGTTTGCTATGAAGTTGGAACTGTCATTATCTGAAAAACAGCTAAAAATTCTGACCAAAATCTTTATCAACAACCAACAACAACAATACAGTAGAAGAAAAATATATTTCCTGAAAATAATTCTCCCTTGTGTGAGTTCTGGGACCTCGTGTCAGGGGTTATACACCCTTTTCCCATAAGGATGTTGTAAATAGCGACTAATTATGGGTCAGTTGAACTTGGATGGGTTGAGCAGATTTCGCAGCCTAGCTGTGAACCACAACATAATGTGCCAATGTTTTTTTAAGAATGATTGCAGCAGCAGAAGAAGAATTTATTCCGTGATTTCAGCTTGCCAGTGGTCCTCCTATTTACAATACCCTCAAATGGTCTTACATGGAAATTTTAGCCAGGTAATGCTGAGTGCAGGGCAACAAGTCAGTGGAAAGACGGGAAGACGAAGGACAAGGCAGACATTTTGCACCTATCAACCATTTCCACAAATGACATCAGATTACACCATGTTAATACTGTCTGTCCTAATTATAAATTCTTAAGTTTGAAAAGGGTCTCTGCTATTCATGGTGTACGTCTTTGAGCCCCAGAGGTAGTCAAGCTTTCTGGGAGCAGCCCAGAGGGGGAGAGGAACTGCTACAGATGATAGCTAGCTGAAGATCCACTAAGAAAAATCACATTCTTAATTTTCATTCGCCCTTACATTGGTATGCTGTATGTTGTATCGTGATTTACAACCAGGCTGTGATAACAGCGCTGTTTGGTTTAACACGTCATGAATTAGACACCTTTTGCAACATGCTTGTTAAGGAAAAGTGTCTACCCTACTCCAAACCTACACGAGGAAAACAACATATTCTCATCATCATGTAGCAAGTCCTTTGTAGAACGTCGCTCTCACCAGATCTGCCTCGCACACTCTGCCTTTCTTTTCTGGTTCCATGCCTTCTACTATTCTTTCCAACCCGCTGTCGCACTTGATATGGCCAAAATATTATTTCAGATTTGGAGGCAAGATGCTGTTTACTGGCTAATCTTTCTTGATGCTCAGATCTTTCAGAATCTCTGTATTTCTTTTCTTCTTGCTGCATGGTATTCTGAGATTCTACCTATAGCACTTTGGCTCAAAAGCTCATATTTTCGCCCCTAATAACTACAGGATAGTAAATGACCCACATCCGTATTTTGCTTAAGGGAAGATAGATACAGGATACTTATTAAGACTAACCTACTAAAAAAAATAAAGAGCTGGACAAATATTTCCATTCCTCAGCATGACAGTACTTTATTGCTGGTACATTTCTGAGTATCCAAGTAAAGTTTACAAGTGCTTATTGAGAATTAAATTCAAAAAGGTTGGTTTTAGCGGAGGTCATTGCAATGTGGCCAATGTTTGCCGCTTTAGAGCATGGCTTAACTGGCACTAACAAGAAACATAGCCATCATGCTCCAGCAGCTAAATACAGACAGTTAGCTTTGACCAGGGTACATTAGTTATATAAACCCTACTGGGCAGGGGAGACACGAACAAGGTTTGTTGGTGAAGGAAGGAGTGAAGCATGTGGTACTTGACTTGAGCCAGTGGAATCATAGTGGAAGAGAGGTTTAGGGAATACAGGAGACTGGTGGCTTAAGTTGGGATCTCATAAATATCTATGCCATGGTAGATTGTTTTGTCAGAAGGGAACAATGGGGCTGGCTCAAGGAACTGGAGGAGTTACCAGGAGATAGGTTGCTTATATGTTGGGACTTTAATGCGAGCAGCAGAGAATCGGACAGCAGGGGGAAAACTGACAGGAACTTGCCGTTGCATAGGCCATGGTTGACTCCGATATGGTCTGCATCAATGAGAGGCTAGCTAGAATGGCAAGACACAGCCACTGACATCTGTCTCCCAGTCGTCAGTTTTAGATGTAAAATGGATTATCTTGAATAACCATGGAAGAGATCACCTACCATGTTCAGTCCTGATTTCTAAACCCAGTAAGGTTAAGGCTGGGAAAGCCCACAAGATCTTCCGGTATAGGTGGATCAACAACCTACTTGGACGCCTCAGACAGGGAGCATGCAACAGGACTGCCAAAACTAATTTTCTACAGCCCCCATAATGGACTCCAAAAGTGATTCATTATGGACTAGGACTGCTTACTGTCCTAGAGAGTCAGATGGATAAACTAGAGTGCATACAGAACACAGCTATGCATCACTCCAGTGATGTGTATGGTTTGCTGACTGTTGCAGGCAGGCTCAAGGTGTTGCAGGTGAAGTCATATCTCAGAGTAGCTGAAGACACAGATTACATTTTGCACAAAGCTCTGAGGAAGTCAAGGGTCAGCGGCTGATAAGAGGAAAGTCATGGATGCGCCAGGTAGAAGACACAATCAGACAGGTTTGCATCCTGCAGAACATTAGGCGAGGAGAGGAGTGGGTCAGAGTGCTAGTGAAACAGTCACGATTTGTGTAGTCATAATCACATTGGGCCGGGAGTGCAGAGAGTGACCAGCAGGTGCTACAGAGGTGGAAATACAGCAGTTAATTTAAAATTATGCTCGCTCAGAAGATATGGTTATCTATACAGACAGTTAAGTGTCAAGAGACAACGGAAGTGCTTGGGGTTCCTTAGCAAAAGTTAATCACCGTTTGGTGCAGGAGAGCCTGGTATGTGAGACCACAACATTTGGCTTAAGAATGAAGGTGGTCACTGCAGCTTTCTGCTGGTTAGAGAACGAGACACGCACACATTGTGATTGTAACTGATTCAGAATGCATGCTGAGGAAGGTCAGGATAGGCATGCTTCATGCAGATTAGCATGCTTTGCTGCGGAGGTCACGAGTAAGAAGTATTGTCTGGATCTTTTCTCTGGCGGCGACGATGTGTTGGGAAATGAACAAGCGGACAGATTGGCTGGCTCTGCACAATTTGGTGGAATAGTGATGATGCATAATAAGACAGATGTGGTAAGGGCTGTGTGGGACAGCGTGTACAATTTGGAGGAGCAAACTGATCACCACAGTTTGGTGAGAGTGATGCAGTTGGAAGCAACAAAGGGTTCTGGCTGAAGCTCAATGCTCAGAGTAAAGACAAGACAGACATTTAATCAGAATGCTACTGGCCCCATTGATATTAGAACTCTGTGTTGGCTGCTAAAGATGAGGATGTAGCGCTTATGGGAATGCCAAGAGTGCTTTGGTATCAGTTCTTGAATCAACTCAACTCAAGAAAACAGTTTCCCTAACCTTAATTCTCTAGATATATGAGAAAGCCAGCTCTCTGGGTCGCATTTCTTCAACTTTATGTGAAACCATCTTCTGCCAAATAGGTATCTGCAACTTAGGCGTGCGAAATCACTTTGTAATTCCAAAGTACCTGATTCAATTCCTGCTGTGGGGAATTTGGCAGCAGACTGATTTGCACAGATTTCAACAGTGGTATCTAGAGTCGACATTCAGAAACCAATGGCAAACTACTGAACATAAAACTGCCTAGTAAAACCAAATAGCCAACAAATAACTGGGTTTGGTAATGTCCTGTAAAAGATACACAACTATGTTTCCTTAGACTCAGTTTTTTTTAAAGTCAAAGCCACCTTTCCAAATCTCATTTCTTCAATTTTATGAGAAAGCAATATTATCCAGCCTCAATTCTTTAGTTTTATGAGAAAGCAATCTTATCCAGCCTCAATTCTTTAGTTTTATGAGAAAGGCAGTTTCTCCAAGAGAAAAGCAAATCCCCCAGTTTCCATGCCCAGGCCTCAGTTCTTTAGTTTTATGAGAAAAGCAATTCTTCTGTCTTATAAGAGAAAAGCTATTTCCCCAGTGTGATGAAAAATTATTCCCCCCCC